CCAAGGCTTGGCTCCTCCCTCAGCCCGCCTCCTCTGAGCCCGCCACCCCCCCTCCAGCCTGCCTGTGCCTGCCTGCGCCTGCGCACTGTGCGCCTCCAACCCCACCCACCACCCCTTCTGGTCTGAGCTTGGCGGCCCAGCCCCATCCCTCTGCTGTTTCTCGGTTGCGCGGTTTTTGCTTATTGTCCACTTGTGCCTAATATAAGGATAATAATTAGGAACAATTAACATATAGTAATTATAATGCATTCATAAGCACTTTTAATAAGTGCTTTGCAATATTAAATAACATACTCCTACATTTGAAATTCCCCATAGTGGATTATGATGGGAATTTCTAATCTGACGTGCCTTGTGCCTTAAGGCAGTTTAACCCAATGCCTTTATTATAAATAAAGAACAAAAATGTTTAAATGTCTTCACGTTCACCTTTTTTGGGGGACACCAGTGGACCTACTAGAATCAGATGCTTTGGTGAATACACAACAAAGGGCAATATGAACTGTATTTCCAGGAGTTTTAAGCGGTGGACTGGTGCTTCTGGCTTGGCCTCTGAGCGAGGATGAGGTGTCCGTGTGCCTGCGAAGCTGTTTTTTCCTTGGCACCTCTGGGGATTAGCGCTGGCTGGCCAGGCTAATCTGGCTACGTACAGTACATTGTGCATGGCACTCGGGGCGTGTTCATTAACTGTGTTAAATGACCAGAGTCCCGTGGTTTATTTGTTATCTCACTTAGTGTCTGCAGGTCTTTTCTATTTTCTTGTTCCTGGTTCCTATGATACTTTAATGACCTGGAGTGTGTTGCTGCTTTATCTCACTCGCCTCTAAGAGTTTCTGTTTAAAAAAAAAAAAAGTACGTATTTTTGAACTGCAATAATGTAAGCTGTAATTATAAAACCAATATTAAGTTATTCCAAATAATTCGCTTTTTTCATAAAAAGCGAATTATTTGTTATTCCTAGTAATTAGCTTTTTTCATAAAAAGCTAATTACCTAAATTTTGGGCAAGTAGGTTATTAATGGTACATATTGGTATTTGAAATTTGTATGATGTAACCTGGTTACATTATAAAATACAGATTATTTTAGCTGGCATAATTAAACATCCGTATAATTTAGATGTACCATATAAAATATTACTAACTGAATGAAGGAAGTTTAAAATCTGGCTCTACGTTTTAAAAACTATGAGCCAAGATTTTGTTATGGGGAGAAATGGGGGCTTAGCTCTCATAACCATCACTCTGCTAATTGTTTCCCCTCCAAAATATGCAATCTATGGAAAATAATGTACTTATAATTACAGCTTTAATTAATTAGTCTGCTTCCTTTTGGGGAATTTTGCATATTAAAGAGGCTCAAAATATTGGTAAAAATTTGTATCAATAGAACTTGCATTTTATAGTACTCAAAAAATTTGGACATTTGAAAATTTCAAACAGCTAATTGTTGCTTAATGACGTTTCACTCGCAAATGAGATGTTTATGGTGTTTTTTGGCTACTGTTGCTCCTTGGAGTGTTTTTGGCAATAAAAGTTTTTAGAAGTCATTGTGAAGAGTCAATAATTAATCAAGTCACTTACTTCTAAACAGACTAAAAATGAAATATTTGTCTTATATAAAGATGACATCTGTCCCAGGCAGTTTGGTTTTGTGCAGTGTGACCTTTCCTGGGGAATGGGACCTCTTTACCCCAGCTTTCTAATGCAGCCCCTATTAGGGAGAATTTAAAGAGCCAGAGGTTTATAAATGAAATGAAGTCACAGTGCTTTTTTGATCACATTAACTCATGGACCCCTGGTGCTGTTTAAACATTGTTATACTTATACCCACTATGAACCACTACCCCACACCCACTTACTTTTCAAGTGTTTCACCTGTATTCTGCTTTGGATTTAAGAGTCCCATCCTAAAGTTGCAAATTTGAGGACCTGATGTCTGTTATTGGTAAGGTCAGAGGTCTTAAACTGGTGACCTGGAAGGCCATACAAGGCCTTGAATTTGTGTAAGCAGCACGGTTTTAAAATTCAAAGCAAAACAAAACTGAATGTCTTGGTGTGGGAGGAGCATACATACTCAAATTATGTACTTTAGCCCCTCCCTGTATTTTAGCTTCAACCTCTTCTCACTTTTAAATTATCTTCCTGTATAATAAAAGTATTTGAATTTTAACCCTTGACCTTTTGTTTCTCTAAACAATATGTTGATTGATTGCTGATGTCCTCATGTAATTTCTGTCCCATCCTTGTTTTTTGTAGATGTTGCTAAAGCCCACCTGAGGTTTGAGGTTGACATGGAGGCTGTTAGCCTTCCTGATCTTCAGGCTGCACAGGGCCATGCTGTGAATGCTCTCTAAGAACTCTTTGTCTCTGTTTTGAAAGTGTAAATGTCTACATGACAGAAGTGGCACGTTAGTCACCTGAACTATGCTCATTAGTTCTTTTGTGGGAAACTAAAATTCTTAATTTAATAAATGAAATTTATATTATGTTGTAACTATATCACCATGGTCACCAATAAAGTAATCTTTAAAGAGTTGGAGATGAGACTGTCACAGATTATGATGTATTTATTGAGTCTTCTGATTTTTTTAAGGTTGTATATTTTATCTTGAATGTCAATTATCTATTGTTTTCATACCCTAATTTACTAAAACAATTAAGTAGGAGGGTCAATACTATTAAGATGGCACATTGATCCCTGACCTTTAAGGACCTGGCTTGCTGTGTGGTCACCTCCGAGGGGCCACAGCAACAGGGCCAACAGAGGGAAAATGACTACAGGTCCAGAGTGCAGACGGGTTGGGGGTGGAGTAATTAGGAAAGGCTGATAAGCACAGTCATCATATTTGATTACCACTTAGTTTTTAAATTTTCCTAACTCTAATTAACAAATGTTTACCATTCTGGCTTGATGTAATATATTTAGTGCTCAATTTTGGTCTTGACAGGTCAGAAAGAAGCAAGTTATACTGTACTTTAAACTTTTATTTATTTGAAGTTTTAAACTAAACTTTAAAAACCCAGATATATTTTAAACTTTTGAAACTTTGATATATTATGCCTCACACTTTTGTTGAACTTGAAATTATAAAGATTCAAACTTTTTAAAAGTTTAGAACTTCTAAAGAATTTTTAAAACTTTTGAAAGTGTGGAACTTATAAAAAGAACTTTAAAAACTTCTGACAATTTAAAACTTTTGAAAGTTTACATCTTTGGAGAAGTTTAAAACTTTTGAAAAAAGTTTATAGCTTTTGAAAAGTTTAAAATTTGAAAAGTTTAAAACTTAGAAAGCTTGTTAAACTTTCTAATTTAAAAGTTAAACACTTTCTACAACTTTAGTATAATTATATTTTTAAGTTTTTATGTATTTAAATTTTCCAGATTTGCGATTTGAGGTCACTGAAAAATTTTAAATGATTACATAACTCTAAATGCATTTAACCTTATTTTCAGAAAGAACACAGGCAGACGTTTTATCATACTTCATTGTCATCATTCATACTTAGAACACTGACCCAGCACCACCCCTCTGCCTCCACACACATAAATCAATAAGTGCAGCCCTAACCCACCTACCCCATCCTTTAGGTGGGGCTCTGCTAACAAATCTTGATTAACAACAAGGGATTGCAAACTGGTGACCTGCAAGACAAATAAAACCTTGGATTTCTTTGACTAACATATTTTAAAGAAATATTTAAAAATATCTTTAGGTAGGAAATGGATGGCCTGGTGGCTACAGTTGCAGCCCCTCCCTGTTTACACAGAAAGTTCTTTCTGTTTTCTGATTGATAGCTATTAATATGAGCTAACGGTTACTGGAAATTTACTGTGCAATTTATCTGCATTATTTAATTAAATCACAACAAATTTGAGGTATACTATTTTGGGCATCTCTGGAGAATAAGTCTTATTTTACAGCTCAGCTCCTCCTGGGAGGTATCGATATTTGTTGAAGGTTCCTGCACAGTGAGGGTAAAACTGGCAGACACATGTTGCTGTTCCGTGCCGTTTCTGTCTCATAGAGAATTCTCTTTGTAAAGTTAAATTATGGTCAGAAAAGTAATTAGTGACTTTAGTAATTACTAAAAAGTAATTAGTAATTAGTCCTGTGGTTTCTGTGGTCGTGGCTGTTGTTTTGATCGTGTTTCCTTTTCTGTAGAGGTAGGCCTGAGTTGTGACACGTGGCCAGAGAGCATTCCCTTTCTGAGGACTGGTGAATATAGGCATTGTGATTTTAATACCTCCTGTTTTGGTAGTTTATTGGTTGGAATATTAGCTTTTTTTTTTCCTAACTTCTCTAATAGCAAAGGTTATCATTTTGACATGTTGCCTAATTTATTTGGAGTCCATCTTTGTGCTGGAAGTTTCTTTGCTCTGTTCCCTTGATAAAACGACTTGTTTGCCATGTCTCAGCATTATTTTATAGTCTGCACGGGTAAACGTGCTGATGACAAAGTTTAGGTATTGTTGAATTATAATGAACAGGTCCTTTTGAGGAGGAATAGGTCATTTGGACAACCAAAACCGGTGTGCTTTATTGTCTATTGTCTTGATTGATAAATTCATTCTCTTTTGTTATGAGTGTGTGTTTTATTTACTGACCAATTATTAGTATGATTCAGTAGAGCAGGGGGATAGTTTAAATGCTACATGTTCTTTGCATTGTGCTGCTTTGAATGTACATGTTGAATGTATAATCTTATGTTCATTTACAGAAACAAGCGGGTTTTGAAAACAAAGAGGAGGAGGGGTGGAAGAGGGCGCCACGATCCAGGCCGCCAACCTCAGAGGAGTGGAGCGACACCGACACCTGGGAGGTCCCCTCCCACCCCAGCAGTTCTCATGGGTCCCGCTGACTGCCCACCACCGCCTCCTCCCCCTCCCCCCAACAACAACAACAATAACAACAACAGCAACTCCAGACCCAGTGGCCACAAGAGCCCCTGCGTGCCCAACATGACCGAACGCAGGCGGGACGAGCTCTCTGAAGAGATCAGTAACTTGAGAGAGAAGGTCATCCGGCAGTCAGAGAACAGCAACCTGCAGAACCAGGTGCAGAAACTCACCGAGGAGAACGGCACTCTCTGCGAGCAGGTGGAACCGACCTCTCAGGATAACCAGGATGACATCGAGCTGCAAGGTGCTGCAGCGGCTGCTGTCCCGTCCACCCCCACCGAGGAAGAGTGCCCAGAAGACTTTCCTGAGAAGTTTGATGGCAACCCCGACACGCTGTCTCCTTTCATGTCCCAGTGCCAGATCTTTATGGAGAAGGGCACCAGAGATTTCTCAGTTGACCGTATCCGGGTCTGCTTCGTGACAAGCATGTTGACCGGCCGTGCTGCCCGCTGGGCTTCCGCAAAGCTGGAGCGATCCAACTACCTGATGCACAACTACCCAGCCTTCATGATGGAAATGAAGCATGTCTTTGAAGACCCCCAGAGGCGTGAGGCTGCCAAACGCAAGATCAGACGTCTGCGCCAAGGCATGGGGTCTGTCATCGACTATTCCAACGCTTTCCAGATGATTGCCCAGGACCTGGATTGGAATGAGCCTGCGCTGATTGACCAGTACCACGAGGGCCTCAGTGACCGCATTCAGGAGGAGCTGTCCCACCTCGAGGTTGCCAAGTCCCTGTCTGCCCTGATCGGCCAGTGCATTCACATCGAGAGGAGGCTGGCCAGAGCCGCTGCTGCCCGCAAGCCCCGCTCCCCACCCCGGGCGCTGGTCCTGCCTCACCACCACCAGGTCGATCCCACCGAGCCCATTGGAGGCGCCCGCATGCGCCTCACCCAGGAGGAGAAGGAAAGGCGCCGCAAGCTCAACCTCTGCCTCTACTGTGGAAACGGAGGGCACTATGCCGACAACTGTCCTGCCAAGGCCTCCAAGTCTTCACCGGCGGGAAACTCCCCGGCCCCGCTGTAGAGGGACCATCAGCGACCGGGCCAGAAATCCTAAGGTCCCAAGATGATTCACTATCACCCCACTTACAAGTAATGCTCCAGATCCATCTCCCAGGCAGACACACCCTGTTCGTCCGAGCCATGGTCGATTCGGGTGCTTCCGGCAACTTCATCGATCACGAATACGTTGCCCAAAACAGAATTCCCCTGAGAGTCAAGGACTGGCCAATACTCGTGGAGGCAATCGATGGGCGCCCCATCGCATCAGGCCCGATTGTCCACGAAACCCACAACCTGATAGTCGACCTGGGAGATCACCGCGAGGTGCTGTCCTTCGATGTGACCCAGTCTCCATTTTTTCCCATTGTCCTGGGGGTTCGCTGGCTGAGCACACATGATCCCAACATCACCTGGAGCACTGGATCTATCCTGTTCGACTCCGAGTACTGCCGATATCACTGCCGGATGTTTTCTCCAATACCTCCATCACTGCCACCACCAGCGCCCCACCCATCGCTTTATTACCCAGTGGATGGGTACAGAGTTTACCAACCAGTGAGATACTACTACGTCCAGAATGTGTACACTCCAGTAGATGAACACGTCTACCCAGATCACCGGCTGGTTGATCCCCGCATTGAGATGATCCCTGGAGCACACAGCATCCCCAGCGGACACGTGTATTCACTGTCCGAACCCGAGATGGCAGCTCTTCGCAACTTTGTGGCCAGAAATGTGAAGGATGGTCTGATCACCCCAACAATTGCACCAAACGGAGCTCAGGTTCTCCAGGTGAAGAGGGGGTGGAAGCTGCAGGTATCTTATGATTGCCGATCTCCAAACAATTTCACTATCCAGCATCAGTATCCTTGCCTGACTATTCCAAATTTAGATGACCAAGCACACCTGGCAACGTATACCGAGTATATTCCTGAAATTCCTGGATACCAGTCATACCCTGCATATGCCAACTACCCTACCTACCCAGTGGGATTTGCATGGTACCCAGTGGGACGAGATAATCAAGGAAGAGCTCTCTATGTCCCTGTCATGATCACTTGGAATCCACACTGGTACCGTCAGCCTCCAGTACCCCAGTATCCGCCCCCACAGCCACCACCCCCACCACCGCCGCCTCCACCACCTCCCTCCTACAGTACATTGTAAATACCTGTCATGTTCTTCAGGGTCTCCGCCCTCAAAGTTTATTCCTGTGCAACTTCTCTGTAACTGTGCAAAATTGAGTGACTATATCTTTAGGCCACCTGAGGCATATCGTCTCTGAAAGGCTACGGACAGTCAGGGCCACCTTGATTGAACTGGTACACATTCTAAAGCACTAAATGACCCTCAGCAATTCTGGGAGCAACAGAATACCAACAAATTATCTCTCAGTTTTGAGCCTTGACTGCCAATATGTTTACCGTTGCCTGGCATTTACCTGGGGAAACTTCTGTCACCATCTAAATTATAGGCTGCCAAATTTCTTTACAGAAAAGCTGATGCACACACAGGAAATCATGATTTCTTCATGGAGGGGGAGATAAGACGAAGGAAGACATGACCTTTCTTGCAGTTTTGGTCCTTTACAGTATTGGAGACCAACGCCTTATAAAGGAAGCCACAATTAACTGGTGCAGTGTGGAAAGGCTTCCGTGATTCTCTTGCTGCACCCATGGAAACTTCACCATCTTCGAACTCCACTTTCATGATTCCTTAATTCTCAAGGAACAGCAACTGGACTGGTTCTCCTAGGAGCAGGTAAACCCCCTGCAACATGGAGCACCTCAGGCCTGAAAAGGAAGTGCTCTCTCAGACAGACTTGCATGTTAAAGAGTGTGCCTTCACATCCTGGTGCAAATCACATGTACCCAAGAGCTCTGGCTTTGACACAACATCTGTCACCATGCCAGTAATGGCTCCCATACAGTGTTAGCCTGGCAAGCAGAGACTGCCAGTAGCTCCAGGCATGTTAGGTCTTTGTCACCACCTCTCAATCATGTCTGAGGGCTAAAAGTAACAAATCAAAAGGACTTCTAAGTCCTGTACCCAACTCTTAAAGGTACTGGTACTTCAGAAAGAATTTTCACAAGTGTTGTCAATTGGCTGAATTTTTGAAGCATCTGCCTGTGACTCTGCCATCTGCATCTGGGCATTCCACCCCTTCATCCGATGAAGCATTAGGATGTTTAGAGAGGGGAAATGATTTAGCACCCAAACCTGTGCATGGGAGGAATTAGAGCTCTGGGCACTGCCTAAATGACCAGAGTCTGACAAGAAGCTGCCAATGGATGAGAGGCCTCAGTCACACGACTCAGTCCAGTTATACTTCTGTGTCTCGTGGGTGCTTTGTGCTGAGCTGGGACTGCCTCACCATCTTTTAGCCTGGTCCCTTGCTACTGCCTTGACCCATTTGTCTACCCTCTCTCTTTCTTGAATTCTGTACTACTGCCATTAATCCTGCTGCAGGATCTGTGTCACCTTCCTGCCCGGTTGCTGAGACTCCATGCTGCTGCCATACACGGAGGCAGGCTCGAGGAAGTACATGTTTCAACATGCGGAGTCTCCAATTGCCAAATCAGGTTGAGCAGTAGGAAACCACATGCTTTACATTTCTAATTGCCAGCCATGAAGCAGAGTCTTTACGGTGAAGTTTCTTTTTCCATCAGCATCACCTTTCACATCCTCATTACCATTTCCCCTTATCCCTGCATGTTTAAATACATCCGAGTTTTAGCTGTACTAGCATCCTTTGACGGTGTTTCAAAGTGGTGACTATGCTTTCAGAAATTTCCATTGAATTACAAAGTACTATTCTTATTTAAACTGAGTAAAGATGACATAGAATATTTCCCTACTGTGAATTTCTTACAGCACTGTGAATGAGAGGTTTCCCAGAAGTGGAGTGTTTGTAAAATAGTTTATCTTGTTCATCCTCAATCTTCAATTTTAATATCATGAAAAATCAACACTATCAATTGGGCCTTTAAAAATCACACAAAAGAAAAAAGTCCAAAGAAGAAATTCAATTCAAAACAACTTTTCCTTGCTTTTTTCAGTGGAACCGGAAAGCTTGTCAATCACTTGAATGTTTTAGAGTAATTACTTTGGAAATGGTGCATTTGTGCTTCTGGACTATCGTGAAGCGTCACTTCACTTTACCTCAAATCTCACTCCATCCTCCATCCATTTGAATTCAAGTGGTTTTTGTGTCAAATTTACAGTCATCAGTTGATCTTCAAGCTGCAGAGTGCCCGGAAAGGGGCAGTTACCTGCAGCCCTGAAATGTACACACAGACATTTGCCATCACTGCAAGCAGACGTCTGGAGAAGTTGGCCAAGGACAGGACAGTCAGGGAGAGCATGCTGATGTGGGTTCTCAGCTCACGAAGCCCCTGCCGCACACTGGACTGTTTGCTAAACCTTGTGGTTAACTTTTGGCAGTGTGTACTATGATTTCTTACTGTCTGTACTATCTATAAGTGTTAGCTGTTATGGATAAGTAATCTTAATTCTATAATATTGAAATGTGGGTAAGTTTCCTTTCTTTCAACTGATTTGTTTCCATTGGTCAAATTTATGTTTGATAAGTTTCCTTTCCCTCAGCCGATTTGTTTTTGCTGATCAAAGTTATGTTAATTGGCTCTTTTTAGAGTTTCATTTGGCATTTCCAACAAAATGCCTTTTTTCATAAAAAAGGAAAAAGATGTTAGAAAGGGAGCATCATAAAACAGAAAGGACATAGATAAATCAAAACAATTGAATTAAGTAGAAACAAGATTGTAGTTGCTAGTTGAGCCTGAAGTGAAGTAGGTGAGGTTGTTGGAACAGGAAGTTTACATACATTTTTGCAGGGTCAGTTTATCTTGGGCCGGGAGGTATTTGTCTTGGATGTTAGTTTGATTAAATCAGGTGAAGAAATAGAGTGAACGTGCAAAACGTAAGAGGAGCACATCTGTGTGGTGCAGTCTGGAATCCTTCTCAAGTTTACAGGTACCTCTTAGACTCCGGAATTGGTCCCGCTGTCATCCACCAGACACCGTCCATTAGATGAGTTCCAAGACTGGCAACAGAGCACAGCCTCCTGGAAAGACCTGAGCGACACTGGAGGACCACCTGAGGAAAGAAGAGCCCCGTGGGAACCGTGTTACATTTCTTGGGACTGAAAAGTTGTTTGTTGTTTCAGATTGTAGAACACTGTTGCATTGGTCTGTGAACACTGCCTTGTTTTAATTTCTTTATGTTATCAGTTTAAGTAATTGGGGATATATATTTAAGCATAAGTACTTTAGGGTGGGAGGATCTGTTAAGTAATCTTAAGTGGGTGGGGTTATTTGGTTAGGATAATATGCATTAGATATCCCTCTAAGTACTTTCCTGTGACCCTTTACCCTATACTTGCTACCTTTAAGATTTCCAATAAATTCAGAAGGAACTGCAGGGAGTTCACCCTATTTAGAGTGAATTGGACATGAACAAAATCTTATGGAAAGTTCAAAGGTGGTAAGATGAGTAACTGACTAAAGGCCCTTCCCGGGATCAGATTGTGAGCAAAACTTTGAGAGGTACAGGACAGATAGGTACCCTTTGAGAAACTGTTGGTGGACTGAATTTGATTATGGTGGATGGGAAATATTTGTGGAAATTAACAGCAGAGTGATGAATAAAGACCCTTGCTTCTGCCCCTGTCAGCAGCCCTCCCCCCTTCCCTAACCCTGCACTTCCTACCCCCAATCCTTACCCCTTCTTCAAACTGTATTGCTGTATTCTCTTTATATTTCTCTTTATTTACTAACATTGTATTGGTGTTATAACAATTCAATAAAGATTAGTGGTTAGTGCAGATTGTGTCCTGATCATTTCAGTATCCACCAGCATCAAGGGCATGGGGCAGGGCTAGGGAGGGTAAAGGCACGTGGGGGTGCCGAGAGAATGATGGTGTAGGGGCACAGATGGGGAGGAGCGGAGAAGAGGAAAGCTGGGAAGGGTGGAGTGCGGTGAGTTTGGGATGGGGTGATGGATAAAGAACACATCAATCGCACATACAGAATTCCTTAGGAAATCAATGGATTCCAATTCCAACACATGAACATATAATAAGCAATTAATAGTCACTCCAATGACAACAAATATTAGTACAAATATTAACTGGATTGCTTGAGTTTTAGTCAAAGGAGCATGGCACGGGGGAAGTGGGGAGAAGAAGGTGGGAAGGTGGCAGCCGGGCAGTTGGGGGCGGAGAGCAGTCTCAGTCACACCGCTCATTCTCAGCCCAACTACTGACATGTGATGCATCCACAACAGCAGACATTGATATTACCTGGCGTGCTACTGGAGACGTAATAGGAGGAGTAGAGGAGGAGGGATAGTGGGAAAATGAGAGGGAAACTGGAGAATTGGAGATGGGAAGAGCATGCGGGAGGGCGGGATGATGGTGAGGGCGGTGTGTAAGGAACGCAGGGCATCGCCACAGCACTCAGCGTCAGTGTCACACCCGGAATACTCCAATTTATTTGAGCTGCAAAAGCGGCATAAGATAAAGTCACACTGAACGGTGACTCCAAGACATAACAGACTGTTTTTATTCCCAGTATGACTCGGCATACTTAAGGTTTATTCATAAGAGAGAACAGGACGGTGAGGGAGAGTGCAGGGCAGAGTGAGGGTGGCGAGAGCTCGGAGGGGCTGGGAAGAGAGGGTGAGGAGTGTGCGGCCGGGGACACGTTGGGTTAGGAATGCTACGCTGCATGAAGAACGCTTCAGTCGGACACGAATCAGTCGTGGAACTAGAAAACCCCAGAAATCAGCTAGTGCTTTCTATGTGCAAAACATTAACAGATATAAGAAAGCAACCAATTAATAGTGACTTGGGTGCCACAACGGGCTTGATTTCTAATATTAATATTACTTAGAATATCTGAGACTCATTCATCGGAGTGGCAAAGGAGGGACTATGGGGAAAGTAGGGGGCACTGGAAGAACAGGGAGGACGGTGGAAAGTGGGGGTTGGGAAAGTCAGGTATGGGAAGGGGATGCGTGACCGGGATGGGGTGAGTTTGGGATGGAGGCGGCATACGAAAATCACATCGATTACACAATCCAGTATCCATGATATTCCCAGAACGCTCCAGGAAACCAACTAATTCACTTCAGCTCCGAAATTTTAAACATGATGTTATAGAACCAGTTAACAGTGACGCCACTGACGTAACAAGCTTTATTTCTAGTATCCATATTACTTCGAATACTTGAGATCTATTGATGATTGGGAGTGTGGGGAATGGGAATCGGGATGACAAGGGTGGGGCTGGAGGTGGTGTACAATCACACCGCACGTTACTGCCGCTATACCCAGAGCACCCCGGGAAGTCAACCAGCACATTACAGCTGCAGAGCGTTAGCATATATAGTACTAAAGCAACCAATTAACAGACTCCAGTGACATGACAACATATACGTGTGTGTGTGTGTGGGTGTGTGTGTGTGTGGCATATATGAATGGGAGCGGGAAGGGAGGGTAGTGGGAGAGCAAAAGGTGGATCGGGGGGGAGGGTTGGAAGAGTGGGAGAGTAGACATGGAGAGGGTAGAGGGGTAGGGCTGAGGTGAATTTCGGGTGCGTGCTGTGTAAATAATAAATCAATCACAGCCCAATATCGGGGATATGCCCGGAATATCCCAGGCAATCCATTAGTTTACTCGAGCTGCAAAACATTTCCATACATGATAATTAAAGTGCCTATTAATAGCAACCCCAGTGGCATATAATATAGTTTACTTTTTTTTTTTTTTTTTTTTTTTTTTCTTGATTCTATTTCGACCTCTT